GTTTTAGTAAAATTATTTTTTTCTTTTCTCTGTCTTTTCTTAATTCCAACACTATTTTCACCCTAAAAATAAAAATCAAAAGTTATTATTCATACATATCTTAATTTAATAAATTTATATTTATATTAAAATTATCTTTAAATATTTTATGCAAGTCAGTCCTTTAATAAGAAATTAATGTTTTTAACTAGCCTAAATTAGGCCTAATGGAATTCCTAATTTGTTTAGTAATCTATATAAATAAAATTAGAGTTTTGTCTGTACATTGCTCAGAATTATATATTTTTAGGTTATTTTTACGTCTTATACATTAAATAAGCAGAAACGAGTCTTATCTCAATTTCTGTCTGTCTGTCTTTCCCACTGTCTGTCTTTCCCTCTGTCTGTAACACTCAAGATGGCATTTTACGCTATCTTCACCTGGAAAACGAGAGTACCTATCAAGATTCTAAGTCATTTTAATGTATTCGCTGGATTGGCGAGATTGTTTTTAGCCATTAAAATATGGCCTCACTACTTTGTAAATAATATTACGAACGTTCAAAAATGTAGTTTTGTGCGATTTATGTCAAGTTTTCGTCCTATTTTTATTGCATAATCATCTATGAAATAACGAACATCTGTTCGGATCAAGGTTATTTTTCCTAGCTTTCACTGATATGTTTACAAATGTTGTTTACAAATACCACAACCTTTTTCAATCACGTTTTGAATGCAAATCCCAACCAAGTGAGATTAAAAACGTTTTTCTTACATAACGGATTTAATTAATCGAAAGTGCAATAATATAGTGTAATAGTGTAACCGTGTAAATGAAATTAATAGGCATCATCCAGTTCAGGAACCAGAGATTCTTTGTGTATAAATTGTTCTTGAGTTTTGATAACCAGAAAGAAGACCTTGAATCAGTGTTGTATATGGCTGAGAAACTTAAATTTAATCATGATCGTCGCCAATAGCTTAGAAACATGGTTTCCACTCATTGACACGGCGCTTCAATGGCGGTTGTGTAAAGTGTAAAGTAAAAATCTCAACTGCAGTGGGTGATTGTAACAGAGGTTTACGGACGATGCTAAACTCGCTTTTCTAATTTGTTATTTTCTGTTCCTACCATTAACTATAGTACCTACTCACCGTGTGATGCAATCGCTGGACCATACAGCCTATAGGCCCATAGCCCATCTCTTGGGTACGTACGCCTACCCAATTATTCATAACAACCTTTTCGACGATGATCCTTGATACCGGTACTTTTCCCTAGAATACACGGCCTACCTTCTTAAGAAATATAATTACAAACGTCCAAAAACCCAACGTTGTGTGATTTTTGTCACATAATCTTCTAATGTTAATAGATTGCCTTTACCAATCATTGTTTAGAGAATAGGTACGTAATCTATTAAATAACAAAAAGTTTTTTGTATGAGATTGTTTTTTTTTCCAAACTGACACCGATAATTTACATTAAAAGTTGTTTACAAATAAAGCAATTAATGGGAAATAACTTTGATTGCCGTTTTAAAACGTTTTACGAGAAAATCCAAAACCAAGAGATCAATAACCTCGGGACTTGCTACCTACTTAAGAAATATTATTACAAACGTCCAAAAACCCAACGTTGTGTGATTTTTGTCACATAATCTTCTAATGTTAATAGATTGCCTTTACCAATCATTGTTTAGAGAATAGGTACATAATCTATTAAATAACAAAAAGTTTTTTGTATGAGATTGTTTTTTTTTTCAAACTGACACCGATAATTTTACATTAAAAATTGTTTACAAATAAAGCAATTAATGGGAAATAACTTTGATTGCCGTTTTAAAACGTTTTACGAGAAAATCCAAAACCAAGAGATGAATAACCTCGGGACTTGATTAACTCATATAATTGGTCGGCTGTACTATAGTTCTCAACTGTGAACGTTGGTTTTTGGTACCGGTTTTATTCCTTAGAACCGTTGGTAGGTACTGTTGGTAGCAGCAAGAATCATTTTTAAGTACCAACACATCACCGTACTTTACAAATCAGTTATCTTTGGTGTTGCACCTTATTTATTATTACAGGCGTATTCAATTTAATTGATGTCTTAACTGTACATTTTTTGCTTTTTCTTTCTTGATTGCAAAATGGTAGTGTTAGATATCAATTTCATTTAGTATAGCATATTATTTTTATTTTCAACGCATACTTTCCATTGCCCTGAGCTTTGGTTTCACCGTTTATCTTTTAACCCATGTCCGGCCGATAAGAATGAAATTTCCCGACCTTTGTACTTTTCCATCGTACGATGCTCGGCCGCGGCACAGTCCGCTACTACTCCTCTCGACATTAAGTCACTTTTCATGCAGCAATACGCTCACCGCTATCATAACCTTTCATATTTCACTACAAATCAAATTCAACCCTCATTAGGCCATAAAAGATCGTTTTGTTTTTGCCTTTTTATAACAAGAAGTGAGTTTTAAGTTTATTTTTCGTGTACATAAACTATTTCTAACTGACTGGGGATACAAATTCTAGACCACTTCTAGATGAGCTAGAGACTTGAAATTTTCGGTGTTTTGTAGGTCTAGTGCCCAAACCACCCATAAAATTCCAAAAAGTCGCATTTTCAAGTTTTAACCCCCCCCCCCGAAATTTTGAATTCCCCCCCATGTTATTCTTATGGGGAATAACATAAAAAATGGCCGACTTTGGTGTGCCCATCTGAACGGTTTAGAAACGTGCTAGAGACTTCAAATTTGCGTAGTATTTTACTATGGGATCTTAAATTGACGGTGAATTTCGCAAAAGTCCCATTTTCCAATTTTAACCCCCCCAAAAATCCAAAATGGCGGACCTCTGCAAACGACAAAACACGTTTTTTTCAAAGGGATATAGCTCGAAAACGGTAAGAGCTAGAAAAGATTTGAAAGTATATCCAGGAACAGGAATTAAATTTTATACTAAACCTCCTCAAGCGTTTTCCGGAAATCGCACTCCTTAAGCTTCAAAAAACGCCCTACTTTCAAAATTTTGTAAATTTCTTTAAAATTTGTATCGGTTTTCGCTATGTTTTCGTACCTTAATAATTATTTTTTGCAAATATTATTAATGTTTCGTATTCTCCTTAGTTTACTTTACATTTCACCCTCTACATGTTTTTTCGTAACTTTACTCCTTGACCCCCAAAAACTTAATTTTAATGTGAAAATTTGATTGTTTTTTACCGCTTTTACCAGCCCCATGTTATTCTTATGGAGAATAGCTATGACATTTTAATACTTTGGTATGCTCATCTGATTAGTTTAGAAACGTTCTAAAGACTTTAAATTTTTTTAGTATTGTAGTATGGGATCATCCGTTTATGGTGGAATTTGCAAAAATGCCTTTTTTAAATTTTAACCCCCAAAAAAATCCAAAATGGTAGACGTATAAAAACGACAAAACACGGTTTTTAAAAACGACTATATCTCAAAAACGGTAATAGCTAGCAAAAATTTGAAAGAATCTTCATGAACAGGAATTAAATGTCCTACAAGACACTATTATGCGTTTTTAGAAAATCACACTCATTCACCTAAAGAAAACGCCCTACTTTCAAATTTTGGTAAATTTTCTTCAATTTTTTTTACCGGTTTTTGATTATTTTTCGTACATAAAAATTTTTTTCTTCAAATATTATTAATGTTTTGTACTCTCCTTAGTTTACTTTACATTTCACCCTTTACACGTTTTTTCGTAACTTTACTACTTGACTCCCAAAACGCGTAGGTCAGTAACGCTGTATAGTCATTTGGTTCTCGCTCTAATTTTTGCTAATGGATTTGGCTACCCATGATTAAGTTTCACTGTCACTTCTTCCTATTTATTGGACTTGTTATTTTGGCGATTTTGCTGCAATTTTCTGTAAGCATGGAATTCTCTTGCGTTGCGTCTGGGTCGTTCCACCAGGGAGATCCCAGATTTACCGAGAGCAACAACGCTCAATGCATGGCAAATGCAACCTGTGCCCTCGCATGGCAAGCATTCTGCGGCGGATTCAGTACCAACGCTATTGACGCTATACTCATGGCGGGCGATAGCTTGTATACACTATCTCGCCGTGAGCACAGCATCACTAACCGGTATCTGTTCCCTGGGGACCTTGCCAGGCACTTCGTGGTTGCACACCATCGTGTAACCATCGAAGAAATTTCTTGTGTTTGGGACGGGTTGTATCCGTTACGAAACGATGGCCTAGATGAGGTGACAACTTCCTTGTCTTCGGTTTTGGAAGCAGCTATGCCCGGTGACTCCGTTGATAGCGGTTTTTTGTTTACGGGACAGTTGGTGACAGTCGCTTTTTGGCGTTTCCAAGGGCGGCTGTACCTCTTTGATTCCCACGCGGTAAACGAAAACCGTCGTCGAGACATTGATGAGGCGAGAAATAAGGCTAGGGTGTTCGTCTGTAATAGTTTTCCTTCTCTAGCTTCCCTCATTTTGGTGAATTCTGCGTTCGTCGGTGGGCAGTACTCCGTCACAAAAATAAAGTTTTTCGTCAACGAAACTCAAACTGTCCACACGGTCGACTGTTCGGACAATGACTGAACTCAGTTATCAGAATCTGCCTCTGAGACAGTTGTTCAGAAAACCAAATGTTCTGGTAGACCAAAAACAATAAAGCGTGGTCGTCCAAAGCTTTTAGACACGACCCGAGAAGAGCAAGTGGATGCGGCGAAGAAGAAGTATAGGGAGACGCACGCTGACAAACTCCGGGATGACAGTCAACGTTACACTCAAACCCACCCTGAGGTGCACCGAAAGGCTGTTCAGCAATACGACCTGCGTAATCCCGGTGCTTCTGCTGAGAGAGTTCAGGTTTTTCGCCTGAAAAATCCGAAAATGTCTGAACTTCGCTTTATGCCCGCATCACTTGCTCGGTCCGTAGTCACAAATGGCCCCATGTCTGTTTGGAATGGGGAGCCACTCAATGAAATACAACCATACAAATTAAAAAAAAATCAGTCTCTGGGTTGATGACGTTTTCAGATCATTGCCAAGCACGGCTCTTCGAGGAGGAGAAGAATAGAAAGCAATGGTGCTGCGGGGAAGGAGCGTTCAACGTTCTCGACCTTCCTCCTTTGCAAGAACGCTTTTATTCTGACCGTCTCTTCCTGGAAAGAGCCCGTGCGTACAACGACCTGTTTGCTTTCTGCGCGCTCGAAGTGTCAGGCGGGTATCGTCATCCCAGTGGTCTTTCTTTTTTCAAGATCGAGGGAAGAATGTACCACCAGGTCTACAATCTGGACGCCCCAGGACAAAAGTTCACCACTCGTTCTGGGAACGTTCAGTTTGTGAATCGGTCCCGCCTGTATATTGACGATGGCGAAGAGCGCCGTAACATTGCGATGGGTAGATCGCTTGATGCCGAGATCATCGACGGTATTGCTGATTTCCTGTCTAGGGAAAATCCTTACATTGAGCATTACCGTCGATTGAGCAACGAGCCTTCCGTAACAGCTCACTTGGATTTTGAAGTAACAAGCAGGTCTACCCATGGCCCTGTTCTCGGTGATCGGCAAACAGGCGTCGAAGTGCACGCCGTGCTCAGCAATGATGAAAACGACACTGAGCCCCGGAGACTGACAATATGGAAATCCGGTTCCGATAGACCTACATTTATTGATCTTTTACACCCCCTAATGGAACCTTTCCAATATCCCCTACTCTACCCGCAAGGCACTGTGGGATGGCACGTTGGTCGCCTTGATAACAAGGGTGCCAAACTGACTCAATTTAAGTACTCGCGGTGCCTCCTACTTTCTGAACCTCGCTTCTCTCACCTAGGCCGTCTCTCACAAGCTTGGCAGGTTGAGATGTTCGCGAGGTACGAGGAGCAGAAACTGCGTTATATTAAGTTTACGCAGCTGAAGAACACCGATAGTGCCTTGCGGGTGGGGCCGGTTGACGAGATTCGGAATGCACAGCAGGTCTTGAACGACATCGCTCGTGATGAAACCGTCCAAGGCGAGGGTGGGGTGCAGGCAGGAAAAGTCTACCTCCCAAGTTCGTTCACCGGGGGGCCCAGGTACATGAAAGAAAAATACGAAGACGCTATGGCAATCGTATCGCGCCTGGGTTCCCCCACTTTCTTTTTGACGTTTACGTACAACGCGACTTGGGGGGAAAACAAGAAAGCTTGCCCTCGTGGAGGTACTCGCAGTGACCCTCCACAAATGGCGAAGAGCGCCGTAACATTGCGATGGGCACTGCTTGCAGAGTTTTTAGCGGATATTCCCTCGGAAGAAGAGGCCGGAGGCCGACTGAGGAAGTTGGTCCTCAAACACATGATCCACGGTCCATGTGGTAATGATCATAGGACTGACTTTCTCTGTTGGGACTCTGCAAAGGGTTACTGCACCAAATACTTCCCCAAGCCCTGCTGTGAAACCACCCACGTCGACGAGAGGGGATTCGTCCAGTACAAGCGAGATTATACCAATCGGGGGACAATTGTATCACGCAATAAGAACATTATCGTACATGACGGTTGGGTTGTGCCTTATAATCCCGCACTGATGTTGAAATACGAGGCCCACATCAATTTGGAGCTGGCGTCTACTCGCCGCGTGATTAAGTACCTCTTCAAATATCTTATGAAGGGAGGATCTCTCCAGAACGTCACAGTTACTCCCTTCAGTAAGCAAGATGATGAGGTACAGCATTACGTGACGAAGAGAATGGTGGGTGCCAGTGACGCGTGCTGGCGTTTATTAAACTTTCCAGTATCAGAATCTGAGCCGGCTGTTGAATGTCTTCCCGTCCATCTGGAGGGCAAGCAGTCCGTCCTGTTTAGACCTGGCCAACTGGCAGAGGCAGCCGCTAGGAACAGCTCAAAACTCACCATCTACTTTGACCGGCCTCGTATTTCACTGTTTGACGACCTGACTTATCAGGGGTTCTAGGAAACGTTTGTGGTTCATGTCAAGCGCCCAAAAACTGCGGAGATATACGAGCACCCCGATGGCGTCCATTTTATCACTGCCCGACAGCGTGGCGAGAAGGTGTGCAGACTGTTTTGGGTCTCTCCGAGCAGGACAGAACAGTATTACCTGCGTATCCTGCTTATGACTGTATCTTGCCATGGTTATGCCGACCTCCTGTCCCGCGGTGGACCAAACTGCCGCACTTTTCAAGGGGTCGCGCGGCATCTTGGCTTGGTGCAAGACTAGCAGGAGTACCACTACGCACTGCGAGAGGCCGCCACTTTTATGACCGGCCCGAGACTTCGTTCTTTCTTTGTGATCCTCTGCAACATGGGGGCTCCTGCAGCTCTCCTGTGGGATGCTTTCCGTGATTCCATCTGCGAGGACCACATAGAGCGTAATCCTCTCGATGTTGAACTGGCCTACAAGCTAGGTCTCATCGATATTGATCGGAGTCTTCGTCGGCAAGGTTCTTGCGTCGCAGATCACGGCCTCCCCGATGTACACGATGACACGACGGAGTTGGGCAGAGAACTGCTCTTACACGGTGAAAATCAACAGAGAGTGTTTGTTGAGGAGTGGGTGCCAAAGCTCTCTGAAGATCAAAACCGCGTATTTGAGTACGTTACCTCCGTTCTCAATGCCCCTGCCAGCGGAACGTCGTCGAAAATCATTTTTCTTGACGGTCCGGGAGGCTATGGGAAGACCACTCTGATTCGTGTCATTCTCGCATACGTGAGAGGTTGTCGTCAGGTTGCACTCGCAGTCGCTAGCTCTGGGATCGCCGCGGGTAACATGCCTGGTGGAACTACAGCTCACAGCATGTTCCGGTTGCCACTCGACTTCGGTGACGGCACCGGCTTTTGGAACATCACCAACGGCTCCCAGCGAGCAGAGCTCATCAGGGCCGCAAGGCTCATTGTCTTTGATGAGGCCCCGATGGCACATCGGTTCGTTTTCGAGGTTCTTGACAGATCCCTGCGAGACCTCATGCGTTCCAGTGAGCTATTCGGTGGTAAAATATTCCTCTGTTGTGGCGACTTTCGCCAGATCGCGCCTGTCGTTGTAAACGCTCGTACTCCAACTGACATTGTTTGTGTCTCACTTCGGGCTTCCCATCTGTGGCAGCATTTTAAAATTTTTGCCCTGACAACAGCTCATCGGACTAGTAGTTCCACAGCCTATTCCGAATTCCTTCTTAGGGTAGGCAACGGAACTGTCAGTTCGACCACTTTCTTGGAGGGACGGAACGAACAAAGTCTAATTCCGCTGCTCGGGATTAGACAAGTGACGTCTTTGACTGATTTGGTCGATTCCGTCTTTCCCGCAAACGTCCTACTCGACTCTGATATGTGTTCGCGACGCGCAATCCTCTCGAATCTGATAGTGAACGTCAAGGAGATCAACGACCACATCTTGAACTCCCTTGACGGTCATCTGTACGAGCTGAGGAGCGCCGACACAGTTGACAGAGAGAACGACGATGGCCTGGATCTCGACGTTCAACTCCTGAACACGGCTACTGGCAAGGGCGTACCAGACCATGTTCTGCGGCTGAAGATCGGCTCTGTTTGCCTCATTATGAGGAACCTCAACATCGCTGAAGGACTCGTCAACGGCACTAAAGTCATCGTAATCGGCATCACCAACCGCCTGATTACAGTGAGACTTCCCGGACAGACGCAACCTATCGGAATTCCCCGGATTACCTTTACTTTTGCGTTTGTCGAGGGTTCGCCGTTACGTGTTCGTCGACGTCAGTTCCCCTTGACGGTCATCTGTACGAGCTGAGGAGCGCCGACACAGTTGACAGAGAGAACGACGATGGCCTGGATGTCGACGTTCAACTCCTGAACACGGCTACTGGCAAGGGCGTACCAGACCATGTTCTGCGGCTGAAGATCGGCTCTGTTTGCCTCATTATGAGGAACCTCAACATCGCTGAAGGACTCGTCAACGGCACTAAAGTCATCGTAATCGGCATCACCAACCGCCTGATTACAGTGAGACTTCCCGGACAGACGAAACCTATCGGAATTCCCCGGATTACCTTTACTTTTGCGTTTGTCGAGGGTTCGCCGTTACGTGTTCGTCGACGTCAGTTCCCACTGATGTTGGCCTATTGCATGACCGGACACAAGAGCCAAGGTCAGACAATAGATTCAGTCTGTGTTGATTTACGGACCGATTGCTTCACGCACGGGCAACTGTACGTCTTGCAAGTAGAGTCAGACATCCTGACCATATTGTCGTTCTGGTACATCCCGAACGTGTCCGAGATGGAATCGCATACGCGAGGAACATCGTGTATGACGATCTCCTTCTCTAAACTGGACTTGACACCAGCAGTAGGCTAGGGGATCTGCTTCATCAAAACTCCCCGTCGTGACTTGACAACACCGGCAGTTGTACATAGGGGGCCTTACCAAAAGTCCCCGTTTTTGTATATTTTTTTCTTTTTTTACTTTCTCCCCCTATACCATAGTATATGGAGAAAGTATTGTTTTCGTCAAAATTTTCGAGTTTGAGTTTTGTGTGGATATATTCGTTTTGGGCCCCCCTGGACCCAAAAGAGTGGTTTTCGAAGTGATGTCTGTGTGTGTGTGTGTGTGTGTGTGTGTGTGCGTGTGTGTGTCTGTGTGTCTGGATGTGTACAGAGCTAGAGACTACACCTGTGGTCCGATTTCGATGAAATTTGGTATGTAGGTTCTAATCTATGGTATCTCCAGGCGTTTTAATGGGGATTTTCCCATAAAAACCCATAAAAACCGGAAAAATAGGATTTTTCCAAAAATGGCCCGAACGATTTTGATAAAAATTTAGTATGTTGTAGCCCTTTAAATTCTGAACAGAAAGGTACAAATCCCATATCTGTAAAAATTACGGTTCAAAAGTTATGGTCAAATATGTTATTTTCCCATAAAAATCCCATAAAATAACGAAAATAGGATTTTAGGAAAATATACGGTTTTAATTCAACATAGTATGTTATAGTCCTTACAATTTTGATAGTTTTTTTACTTTTTAAAATTTTTTTATTTTTAATAGGGATTTTCCCATAAAACCCCATAAAAAACGGAAAAATAGGATTTTCCCAAAAATGGCCCGAACGATTTTGATAAAAATTTAGTATTTCATAGTCCTTTATATTCTGAACAAAATGGTACAAATCCCATTTCTGAAAAAATTACGGTTCAAAAGTTAATGTAAATTATGTCATTTTCCCATAAAAACCCCCATTAAATAACAGAAAAATCGGATTTTCCCAAAAATGGCCCGAACAATTTTGATCTTAATTTAGCATGTTATATTCCTTTAATTTCTGAACAAAACTGTACAAATCCCATTTCTGTAAAAATTACGGTTCAAAAGTTATTGTAAATTATGTCATTTTCCCATAAAACCTCCATTAAATAACAGAAAAATCGGATTTTCCCAAAAATGGCCCGAACGATTTTGATAAAAATTTTACATGTTATATTCCTTTAAGTTCTGAACAAAATTGTACAAATCCTATTTCCGTATATTTACTCTCACCGCTTACACATGATAAAGGTTGTTGACAAACTTATGGGAGAAAGTATGTGTCAGAATGCTGATACCGTTTATTAGTAGTTAGTTTAGTTGTTGTATATATTTCCTTTAAGTAGTTAGTAAAGTTTACTAACTTGTACATTTGTGAATAAATTGTAAATATGGTTCCGACGTTTCCTGGCCTCCTCGTGGCGGAACTGGATATGCCATAAAGTTTATGGCTAACCGACAGGGAAACAAACATTACTTGATCTATTTTCATAAATATATACATGAATATCTACTGTTATCTATTTACTTCATATAATACTCTACAATTATCAACTTATTAACTTGTCAATCTACTCTAATATATATTGTGAAATAATTATTACTTCAATATCGATTTTTGCTATTCAATGCTAAATTATATTATCACTTCGTTTGACCAAATACTCAGTTGTAAATATACTTAACTAACGTACTCTCTTACCGTAACTTTAAAATTAATGTTTTATAATGGATTTTTTAAGTTTGAGCTGAAAATTAACTTGCCAGCCTCCTCAAATATATTCGTGAAATTGTTTTCATATAACTCAATATAGACTGTTTCAATGACTGCTTTGTTACCCGCTTTGTTACAACTATACTACTATTCTACTAATGACGACTAACAGCTAGGGGGCCTGGGGCGAGCCAAAGGCGAGTAAATCATTATAAAATTGAACTATTTCTCATATTTAATATAAAACGATCTTTTGAAAATAAGCTAATTTCTGGGTAGGCCTAAGAGCTCATTGCTCACGTTTTATTACAACACATATTTTGGTTTTTCTTCTCCTTGACTGTTCTTCAGGTGTCTCAGTAGCCCTTTTTATGGCCATTCCCTCATGTATTACTCAGCGGTGAAACGCCTTATCTGAAGTGAAGTCTCGCAAGTTCGTTTTATAAAAACCAGCAGTATCTGCTCAACCAATCAGTCTCACCCTCTTGAGGTACAGCTGCCTCGACCTCAGCCATTGGTAAGCTGTTTCTAGCCTGGGCTTCAGAGTCTTCATTATCCAAATTCAAAGGGACATTGAACTTTTTCATTATCCACAGACCAGTTATGTACATGATCCCTGAACAGATTTCTGTGATTCCAATGCAGGTCAACTGCGTAAATGGGCTCACAAAAGTTTTAATTCCCGCCATGGTTGTAATCATAACTTGGATAACAAGACTCAGGGTGTTGTTTAGGCTAATAACTAGCCAATAACTGTCAGGGTTAATTCTGGATGCTATTTCGGAGTTGGCTATTATTTGGGTGACATTATGTAATATTCCACAGAATATATACGTAAAGCACACCACTAGCCAACTCCCAGTTCCCGCACAAAGCAATAAGGTACAACACTGTAGTAAGCCACACGATCCTAACAGGATATAAGTTGTTTTTTTGGACTTGAATTTCAAGCCAAAATAACCCATTAATAATGATGATACAAAGCCGCAAATAATATTAAGTATTTGTGGAATACCAGTGGCAACAGGTGACCCATGAAGGAATACTCCAAGCAACTGCACGCATATAACCATCTGGCTAAATGCTGCAGTCATCATAACCACATACACACAAAACCCTAGTGTATAGGGATTGTAGTAAGCGGCCTTGAAGTCTTCCCATAGCAGCTGCTGTACGACTGTGATGGACGGCTTTGGAGCTGGACCAGCTTGGATGTTTTCAGCCTGGCCACCTAAGCTGACGATCCTAGCTCTATGAAAATAGAGGGTCGTTTCAGCGTTGGGCAGCAAAACCAGCCAACAAACAGCGAACGCCAACACAATGATCGTCACGTAGTTGCTCCATAAACCGGGAAGTGGCCATAATGAGACTAGAGCAGAGAATATGCCTCCTGCCACGGCGGCCGCCTGGCAAAAGCTTGTCACCTTTGTGTAGTTAATTTTTGGCACCTTGGCATAGATGTAGCTGAAATAAGCCACTTCCGCCGCCTTAGCTGCTCCATACAGGCATTGCCTACCCATCAAAGCAAATGTGTCTTCTGATACCAAGTTTATGATCTGGGCCGCCAATCCAAAGAGAGCTCCAATCACAATGAATGGTTTGTATCTGAAATAATCTGCACAGAAAAACAGCATGGTTGTCAGGATCAGCTGGGTCAAGACTTCCCAAATTCTGGCTTCATTTTGCTCTCGGTTGTCCAAGTGATGCAGAATGAACGGGTCATCTGGCCCAATCTCTTTCATGAACCCGTAGACACACAGAAAAATGGTTAATTTCACCCATTCATCCATATTGATAATAGGTTGTAAATCCAACGAAGGTCTATGGAGGTCTAGAAGATAACTCCTCGGTATGTAGGTTTAGAAAGTGAAGCGCTAAATATCGGTTGTCTCAGGAACTGAAGCCTTTTACAAGGATAGAAGCGCCAAAGCCATCTATCTTTTAGGCCTATGCCAAGAAAAAGATAACGCATTTTAGTAAAACATTTATTCAGCAAACCATCATTAATTGTTTAAACGCTTTACGTTGTTTATGTATCAATAGTTCATGGCCTATTTTGGTAATATTTACTATAAATTACCAATTCATTTCATTTAGTAAGCCGTCATTTCGGGTCATCATCGGTCCAAGCAAATATACATTGTTATGATGAAATTTGATGACATTGACAAATATTTCAGATACTATTAATAATTTTACAAGTACTTTGTTAGTCTTAAAGCGTAGCAAATTCCCTAATAAAGTTCTGAATTTTTGTGTGTATGTCTGTTAGTAACGCATTAATGTCCTTATTTCCAGTGTTTCACGGAAAGGACAAAAGTACCTTTATAATGAAAATGTCAACACGAATAAAGTGTTAAATTGGGAGGTTGAGGTAGTACATTAAATACTTTTAACCATTGTGGAAGGTAACTTTCAATTATAGGCCTACATTAGGGCTATGCCTCATAGATCTATAAATCATTTTTTAGTTTAATCATTGGATTTAACATATGGACCATCACGACCCAGGTTACATTTAATTTCGAAGGATTTGTTTTGGCTTGAAACTGTCAGATACTGTATTTGCGAAGGCTTATATACAGAGTGACCGTTAAGTCTTAGGACGACTTTATAACTTTTAAACGACAAACTATATCACAACCACATTTTTGGTATACCGTTACTTGAAATTGTAAGCTACTTTTCTGTGTACATGGTGGTCGGACATCACCTTTGGGGGACGGCCCGTCGGGGGTCAGAAGAAAATCTTTAATGACAGCCTATGTTGAGTTGTACATCATTTTAAAGGTCTACTTCAACTGAAAACAATCCTGCAAACCGCATTCAAAAGGTTGATCCTGCGCAAAATGGCAGATGTTCAAAGATTTTCAAAATTAGCCAATTTCTTTAAATTAAAACACTTTTTTAAATCTTTAAACAACTGTCATTTTTTAACGGATGGTCCTTTTAAAGTGCGGTTTGCGGCATTCTTCTTTGCTTAAAATTCCCTTTCAAATGATCCCCATAACTTCACATTAAGTAGTAGAGAGTAAATGTCTGTTCTGGAACTTGATTTTTGGAAAAACACTGTCTCTTCTGGAACCGAGCTTTTTGTTTCAAAAGGCGAGTGCTGGTTGAAGCTGGGAGGCAAGAGCTCCGCTGATGAGGTTTAAGTAGTGTAGCGTTGCAGATTTTTTTTACATTTATCCTAACTAGAGACTGCAACTATCCTACATACCAAATTTCAACTCTATATCTCAAATGGTTATGGAGATATTAATTGTAAGGTGAAGGTAAATAGTTAAGCCCAAGTCCTACATTTATGATTTTTTTTCAAATCCTTGCATGCGAGTCAACTGTATTTTATGTCCTTAACATATGTACAAAATTTCATATAATTCGGTTAGTAAATAACCAAACGCAAGGCAACTTTAAAAAATTCACATGATCGTGTGTAGTGTGCAAGCTTATCAACCATTCCGAATTTTGTTTGCACTAAAACAAACTAGAGGCTCTAACCGTCCTACATACCAAATTTCAACTCGATAGGTCAAATAATAACGTATATATTAAGCATTGGGCAAAGGTCAATAGTTAAGTCCAGCCTAAACACGTCCCAGAGGAATGGAAGTTATATCAGTATATGGCTCATATATGAAAACCTTCTTTATGGAATTTCTTAAAAATTTTCTTATTTTTGCTCTATCTCTTACCGTTTCCAAGATATAAGCGATTAAAGAATTTATTGGTAAAAACAAAATTAAATTTAAGTATAAGTTTCAAAAAAGTTAAAGTTTCAAAAAATATTTAAGTTTCAAAATGATTCTAATTCTTAAATTGTGTTTTACTCACCAAGTAAGTGAAAGGAGATGCTCACTGAAGCTAACACAAAACCACAACTTGATTGAACAGAGACAACAAGTAATGTACCCAATCTATCACAATTTCGGCTGACGCAAATGAGTGATAATCACGAGCATGTTGTAAAGGACGCACGTGGTGTTAACAGTCCACTGTGCAATAAAATTTTCCACGGAAGTACAGAAGTTCGCAAATGCGCTAATGAGTGATTGGTAATCAAACATGGTGACCTGGAGGTCAGCGCGCCGCTGATAGCTAAAGATTGCTACAGCATTCTGTTGCCCTGATACCCAAAACAGTAAAAACATCTGTTAACTTCGATATATCGGTATTTAGTTCGATTCGATATATCGATATTTAGTTCGATTTGATATATCGATATTAATTTCGAAAATCGATTTATACAGTTCGATATTATTGTAACTATATTCCTACTACATTCTGCCAGCCGGATAACTGTTTCAGAATTTTTCTAAATCTTTTCTTCAATATTTTTGTTTTAAAAATTAGTTAATTTGTTTGAGTTTTGTTTCAAATGTTTCCTACTATATCATAGTACCTTAATACTTTTTCCAAATTATTTTTGTTTATTTTCTGCGTATTTAACTATATTACTTCAGTGACTATGTTGATGCAACTTGTACTCTGCCCACATCAGCTTTTCTGATGCAACTTGTACTCTGCTCACATCAGCCTTTTGCTGATGTAATTTGTACTCTGATCACATAAGCAATCATTTAGTGACGCACGAGTGTTACTATAAATAATGGCTAAAACGATGGAGCATTCAGCTTGAACACTCAGTTGCTCCAGTTCGTCAACCCTCACTACGCCTTCAAGCTCCAAACCATGTAAGTTTATTAAGACTTATTGTTAAACTAAAATACTTTAACATATTTTTTAACTTAAAACTTTAATGTTGGTTTAATTATTTTATAACTTAAAGTCAAAATAACATTTGAAAAGTTGGTTAATTTTTAATCAAACTTTTTTAATTTTATTCTGTAAGAATAACTTAATTTGCCAAGTGTTTACTAGTTGTTTGATATTAATTATTGTTTGATTGCTTATTGAAAAATAATTCTTAAACTAACTTTGCAAAAGCACAATATTGGTTTGTTAGGTTAGCTAAGTTGTTTACTAAACGTTTTAGTGTAGGATAGTTTTGTACTGAAAATTCTTTTAAATTATTAAATGAATATTTCTAAAATGCTAATATGTGTTTTTACTATGGAATAACATTTGTTTCATTATTTTTGTAACTTAGTAAACACAGAGTTTAAATATGTGAAACATGATTAGCTTCTTTATTTTCTTAGTTAGTAATAAACTTATATTTTTAAATGCAAAGTAATAGTGATCTAATAATATTGATTGATTCCAGTTTGAACATCTTGCTGCTTAGTTCCGGCTTAGTACACCATCTACCATCCTACACCATCTTGTTGCTCAGCGCTACTCCACTACGTCCATACGCTCTACACCGTAAAACTTTAAGTAAGTTTGTAATGTTCAAGTAATTATTTTTACGTAAACTTAATTTTTGTTTGTTAACTATTCCATTATGTTTCTGTTTTTTGGCACACACATTTTAACACTTATATTAATTTAATATCAAAACTATAATGCCATTAAAATTATATGCTTATTGGATTTTAACACACATATTAATTTTTTTATTTAACTTGTATATTGTGTTATAAACTGTAACCCTGATAAAATACAATAGTTACCAGCTTTAGTTTTACAATTGACTTCCATGTAACATAACTAGTGAGCCAAAATATCTTAATAACAATAATTTTTGTATCTCACCATCCCTGCAATATAAATATCTATTTTATTTTTGCTGCATTTCAAATTCAATACTTGAGCTTAATTAATTTAAGCTTAATAAAGGTTTGAACCATCTAAGTTGGTTTGAATATAAACTAAACTATTATATATTACTGATTACAGCTTACTAATTTACTGTTATGGTTTCAGGAATCTGCGTGTGTAAATTCGCTCAACCTCCGACCTTCGCTCAACCTCCAGCCTTTGCTCAACCTCCAGCCTTCGCTCAACCTCCGGCCTTCGCTCAACCTCCAGCCTTACTCTTTAACCACTTTCATCTCCCAGACTTCTACTCTCAATTAATCAGGTATGTGCATAGTTAAATTATTAAAAATTCAGTTTAAAATACCATAAACTATTAATAGGTTTAAACATGCCAACGTTTACAATTGTATCTTATTCTTAATTTCAGAATGAATTCAATTGGGTTTCTAAAGCTGTCCGAGCACGCTTTCATCCCGTATAGACACACAAACAAAGCAGCAGGCTTAGACCTAAGATCACCAATTAGGGTTACTATTCCTGCAAATGGGAGAGCTTGTGTGTTGTTAGATCTAGCAGTTACACTCCCTGCCAATTGTTATGGCAGAATTGCACCGAGATCTGGTCTCGCGTTAAAAGAATGTATTGATGTGGCAGGCGGAGTGATTGATGCGGATTTCGCTGGTAACATAGGGGTTATACTTTGCAATCATTCAGATGAGGATTATATGGTAGAAAGGGGAGACAGAATCGCGCAATTAATTTGCGAAAAGATTTGCTATCCGCAGGTGTATGAACTAGTTTGTATAGATGAAACAGAAAGGGGTGCAGGAGGTTTTGGTTCTACTGGACGATAGATTGCAATCTGTAATGTAGCAGAAGTCTAGGATGGGAAATTTAATTTTATTTAACAATACATTTTATTAACAGTTTAATATTATTACTATATTACTTGTGTAATAATAATAACATTAGTAATTTTACTTATTTACAGTAATGGCTCCAACACGGCCAAAACAAGAAGGCATAGCTTCAAAATATCAAATTAAAATATTGCAGATATTTAAAAAATATAAGAAAAAGTTTCATAAGCTAATTGTAAAATAAGATTTCTGGATAGACAGGTTTC